CATATTTGTCGATAAAATTCTGTAACACGATTTTTTTTTCAAAAATGTTCAGCAAGTGAATAATTAGTGACATCTATAGGCAGATGGTTGTCTATTAGATTTTGGTCACCGTTTCTGTGGATAGGTACGATGGTTGAGTCTTTGAATGCTGTCGGTCAGTAAGTAACTTTTAGTAACTTTCAGTAACATTTTGATGTTTCAGTAGTTTTTCACCATATTATTGAAGGATGACAAAGTGTTATCTCTGTGATGAAATAATTCTCAAATTGTAATTTTTAGAAAACAAAACTGATTGCTTTGAAATTTTCATTTCACTTGTCACTTTGTCTTGGTGTCCACCTTTTGTCGCTCAATTATTCCTCATTATTGACAAAATGACATTCAGAATTGACGAAAAATTGTTACTTCAGAAAGAAAAAGGGTGGATTTATACCAATACTGAATATATCAACTATTTACGGATTCGCTTTTCAAGTACGATCTAGTATTTTTTTGTTCATCTTCTAGTACCTTTTCAAAGGGTTGAGGCTACGGCAACAATGATTAAGATAGGGAGTAGGAAGGACATTGGTAAAGACCTGTAACCCACAAACCACCTACTAAGTATTTTGTGCTGTAACCTGTATCACTTGTTGGTTGTCTCTGCTTTGAGTGTATCAGTATAGTCCAAATATGAAGGTGTTAGTGCGTATCATTTTATTTCTTTAAGAGGAAGGCAATTATCCAATTTCAATTATGAAAAGGTGTTTCAGCAAGCAAGCATGGTTTTACAAATATATTTCACTCTAGTTGATTGCAGTGTATTTTGGAAGCGTCAAACTCTCTTCAGAGACACTTCATCCTGACGAAGTGTCTCTTCAGAGAGGAAAGCTTGGCGATTTGTTGCTAACTATTGAAATTCTTCAAGTAACATTCAAGCAACCTATGTGAAAGTATCATTCAATTATCCTATGCAGAGTATCTGATTATTCCGCAATACTCTTGTTTATGTTAATTCAAATTATTATTACAAATTTGTTTTAGAGGTTATTGAAATGTAGAATTGGAACTTTTAACATAGAATAAATCCAAAACAAACACTGTTTCCAAACACCAGAACTGCAGAAAAGTGTTGCATTTCTGGTGTTTGGGAGCACCGTTGTTGTTTTAGAAATTTTCTAAATGTGATATCAAAGCCATTACAAAAATCTGATTGCCTACCTATATTTGAAATAGAATAAAATAACATCTTTTTGAATGCTACTTTTAGTTACTTCTTTTTATGAATGAAAGTTATTGGTATTTCTGATTGGGGATATCCTTCACAAATCTTATTTTAATATATTCCTTTTATGAGCCGTAGAGAAAGTATAGTAATCCACTTGTGAGAAATGGTGTTACTCTCTCAGAAGATTTATAGCTCGCGTCGACAAACTTCATTCTCACCAGTAATCATCACATTTCCAGAATGTGGTTGAATCATATACTTACTATTACTTGATATTTTGGTTTCATATTTGGAATGCATAATATATTTTTTCACATATAGGTGTATGACCCTGAGTATGATAAAAAATATATATAAATTTGTTTCAGTAAAATATCGAGATATTGTCTCGTTAGATTTGTAGATGATGACATTGTATATGTAGTGCTATCCAAAAGCATCTCTTACATTGACAAAAATTTAGTTTGGGCACCATATAAAAAAATGGGTTTCTATGGGGCAGTTCCAATACAATTTAGTGATGATCCAGTTATCCTGAACTGAAATGAAATTGTCTTATCCTTTTGTGGCAACATTTTTTTTTGAAATATGTTAAGTCTCTTGTATTCGAATGTTTTATTAGGTTATTCAAGTACCTACAATTACAAACTGCCATTTCCAAAAATTAATGAAAATACCTGATCCTATCAAGAGATTGGCATGAAATATATTAACACTATGAATCGCCAGTGATCAAATCATGCCCTCTGTTGTCTAGCATATAAAACCGGAATTAGAATAGTGGAAAACTTGGATTGATTCTGTGGGACACTTGTAACATCTCATTCTCTGGAGTGTTGATAAGATACCCAGAATATCAATAATTTACATTCTGAGATGAATTTGTTTGTAACTCAGAGTAACAAAAGACAATAGAGTGGCCTTTTGCATTCTTATCTTAAAGGCAGCATAACTTTGTTTGTTTACGGGAAGTAAGTTGGATCATAAAACAGTGGCGGTTGGTTCAGTTGATAATCGGAGGGATATCAACCGCCACTGTTTTATGGTCCAACTTACTTTCCGTAAACAAACAAAGTTATGCTGCCTTTAATGTAAGAATGCAAAAAGTTTCTCTATTGCCTTTTGTTACTCTGAGGTTGCAATCGGTTGCATCCCTGCAAATTAAATGGCCAAGTGTTCTTTGGAACAACAACCAAAACGCTGAAAGAAGAAATAATGATAATGCCACAGAATATATAATTATATCTTAGGTCTAGAACGCGCTTGTCTGTTTATGTCTGAGGTGTTTATTGTAGATTTCAATATGGACAAATCGTGGTCATGAAAATTACACGTCAATATTTAGCTCTATGACAGAAAGTGAGAAGTAGGTGGAATGTATCTCCTTAATGCCGTGATGGAATACAAAGTTAGAATTATAAGCACAAAATACCAACACGGAATGAAGTAATAGAGCACAGGTGATAAGAAATAACTTTGTTCAATAAATTGATGGATGTAGCCGATACTAGGATTTACCACTTTTATTTATAAATAACGTTACTGCAATTATTTCGTCCTATAAGGAAATTTTCGAACTAGTTTAATGTATAAGTTTGAAAATGTCCTTATAGGACGAAACTGCAGTAACGTTAATTACAAATAAAAGTGATCAAAAACATAGTTTAATAAAAATTTTGTTCTGTGTTGGAGCAATTGAATACATGCTGCCAACTTGTGTTCAATCATGTTCAAAGATATCAATTTTGTGATTCTATCATGCTATAATTATAATAATAAAATATTTCATTGGTAGAATCGAACTTAGCAACCATACCTGACCTAATTTAACCTACCAAAGGGCAGAGTTAGCGCCGGTTAGGTAAATCCACAGTTACTAACGCCTGGTTTGGTGTTCTTAAAATAAAAACTAAGAGTATCAGGATCAGGAGAGCACTCACTTTCAGATGAATTCACAAAGTTATTGTTTATAACTTGGTTGAGAGCATAAGAAGTCATAATGTTTTTTACTTTTTTTGTGGATGCATTATCGACAGTGAGCATGTCTAAATTAAAATCACCTGTGACCAAAATCTCATTTATACTGTTGATTGTGAGAGATGGGGATCTATAAAAACACAGGGCATATTTTCCATTACAAAAGGTAGGTATATGATATCGAAAATTGTTCAGAGATGTTCCGAGAAATGTTTAGCTTAGAAGTTTGGCTTTGTACCTTGATTTCCTGTGAATGGTGACTTCTCCACCCGTGCAAGCAGGTTGGTCTCGGTGGAAAAGGAAAAATCATCAATCCTGACTACATGATCAGATCAGTGTTGTAAATATATTTGGTGTAAGCCTTGTTTCTGTGATATAAAATATGTCCATAACTAAATCACCGAAGAAAGGTTTGGGTTTTCTACTTCTTCATCTTCATCTCAACCTCACTTTCTATGATATTTTTTGGAAATTCCGACTTCGAACTCTCAAATCCGAATTTAAAGTCCGAAATATCAAAAAAATTACTATTTCTTCTGACTGACTTCCGTACAACGCTTATAATAATTGAGAAAAAATTTAAAACATAGTACGAGGTATATATAGATTAGTGTTCATTTTGATGTTCACAATAACAACACATTTTTCGAGAGTTACCCTCTGCCAAACACGGGAGCCAAGTTGCAACTGTTGCGACGACACACTCGCACTTCACTGTTCACTAGTGTATCAAATTCAAGATGAAATCGAATTCTAACAGAAGACTATTTTCGAATTTGAATATCTTGAACAAAAAAGAGCTCAATAAAAAAAACTGGAACATGTGGCGTTGAATAAAAATACTCTTCTCGATGCTCGTGTCACCCTCCAATTTGGCGTCTTCAGGGCATGAAATAAACTGGAAACGCGAGTTGAAAAGAGTATTGCATATCTGATTATTGGGAAAAGTGCATGTTGTTTTAAAGAGAGCTCAGGATTTTTTTTACTGTTTGAGATTTTTGAGGACCACTTTGTTTATTTGTAAGAATGAGAATAAACATGTGGAGTAAATAGTACAATAGTATATGGAGTAAATAGTACATTATACTATATGGAGTGAATAGTACAATAGTAGTATATTATCTGAAGGAAACAAAATGAATAAAATCGAATGAAATAATTTAGTGTAGACAAAATGCAATCATTAGTTCTTTTCAACTATTTTTTTTTTTTTCAAAAAATATTGAATTGAATGACCTTCTTAGCTCCCCACCTGAACTATTTCAGTATACTATATAAGCAATAGAAAATATCACATATTATAGGTAAAATAATAATTCCTAAAATAATATTGGAATTGATTTATATGCAGAAGTATAACTGAGAATTGAAAACATACATATACTCATATACCTGAATTTCAAAAATAGTTGTTTCATTATAAATATCATGTCAGTAGCGTATGTATAACAAATTTAATTTTCAGATGTAAATGACACTTCCGAAGGAATAAATATCTCAAATTTAAGTGGTGAGACATTATATTAGACAAATTATTTTTGTGTAGACTATGAAATTTTTACGAACTCTTGCCCTTATTGATGTAGAAAAAAACATTTAAAAATGCAATAAACTTTTGAATAAGAATAAGCACTCTAGATCTAGACTTCAATATTTACATTGAACTAAAAGGTAGAACTACAACCTCTGGCATAGAATTAATCCAAAATAAACACCAGAACTTCTATACTTGTCTTGACAAGTAACAATAAAATTTTCCTTCAAGTGCAGAATTTATATTGTAATGTCATGAAACGGGTTAATTGAATATTATTTTTTTCAGATTAAATAGATCACATTTGCAATAATAGTGATGATTCCGTTAAAGATCCTGACTACTGCCCAGACAATAAACCAGTAACTCAAGGTAATATTTCAGATTTCGACATTTGAAATATCAAAAATAGTAATGCAGCAATAGTAATTATTGTGTCAGTGCATGTGATATATTTTTTTTGTAGATATGAATAACAACTCTGACGCTTCAGAAGAGATGGATATTTCAGTTCCAAATGGTAATTATGATATGATATGTTATATGGAAAATAATTCACCCTAAAAACTCCAACATTTATAACTGAATGCTAACCACCAAGTTATATTTATTATGTTAATTATATTTGTACATCATTTGAATTGTGATACTGCATACTTTTTGATTAACATTTTGAAAATGGTCCAGTGTTGTTTTGTAACAAATATTTCTCAATTTTTGTTCTAGATCAAGAACCTCTTGAAGTTATAGAAAACAAACATTTTATTGGTAAATATATTTTTTTATTTCTGTTGTGAAAATATGTTATGCACTGAATTATATATATTAAATTATCGTGCCAGTTGAGATTCAAAACCTGCTTTTTTCTTTTTCAGAGTGTGGAAGATTAGATATTTTAGATGGCACTGACTATACAGCAGATATAGACTATAAACAAATGAATGTCTCTAATTCGTATTCGAAATCAAAAAAGCATTTTTGCATGTTTTGTCATACATTACAGACTAAGTTTGCAAGACATCTCCAAAATAAACATAAAACAGAAAATTTGGTTAATCAATTCTTGGCATTAGAACCAAAAAGTAAATTGAGAGCAAGACTTATCAGTGTAATTCGTTCAAAAGGTGATCTGATGTACAATACATGCAAAACATTAAATATGAACAATAATCTGAATGTTGTGAGGAGACCTACATTGAATAAAGAACGGGTGGCAACACACTTCAAGCCTTGTGGATGCTGTGGTGGAATGTATTCCATATTATCTCTTGCCTCTCACTACAGACGTTGTGAAGCCAGTAAAATAAAGGGATCCAAAGATGCTATAATCAATAGTAAGCGAAGAAGTATATTCATTACAACAGCTTGTTCAGTAATGAGGAATGAGGTTTTACCAGTCCTTCGAGAAGATGAAGTTACAGAGACAATTTTGTGTGATGACCTTATAATTGCCTTTGGAAACCGAATGTGTCAAAAATACAGATCACCTCATTTCCATAAGATGATCAGAGCGAGATTACGTTGTGTAGCTAAATTGTATTTAACAATTAAAAAAAAACAGAAATATTGACAGATTTGAGCAAATTTTTGATCCAGAGTACTATGACTCAGTAATAAGTGGTATTAATGAAATGTGCCAACTGAATGAGGAAACAGGAAAATATAAATCACCAAACACTGCATTTTCCCTTGGCAGTTATATGAAAAAAATTTCATTTTATCTTTTGTCAGAATGCATAAAGAGGAAAGAGAAAAAGAGACAAAATGATGTTAAAGATTTTCTGCAACTTTTACAGGAAGGCTTACAGCATGATATCTATAAAACCGTTGAGGAAAATAAGCTTGAAAGGAAACGAAAAAAGGTTATAGAGCTACCTAGTTCAGATGACATCAATGCTTTAAGGAATTTCTTGGATAGAAGACGCGAAATTTATATGCTACGTTTAAAAAAGGAATATTCAATTCAAGATTGGAAGGAACTGATGAGTGTCATTTTAATATCTCTTCAACTATTTAATAGAAGAAGAGCTGGAGAATTGGAACGAGTAAAAATTGATGATTATTCAAGGTACGAACGTTTGAGAGAAGATGACGAAATGTTGGAGAACATATCTGCTAAAGAGATCAACAACAAAAAAAATTATGTTCGATTTTTAATACGAGGAAAACTTAGTAGAGGAGTTCCAGTTATGGTCAACAAAGACAATTTTGAAGGTATAGAGATGATACTTCAATTAAGGAGGCAAACGAATATATCAATGCAAAATCCTTATTTGTTTGGTTTACCAGGGAAGGATAGGTACAAACATCTTGACGCTACACGACTTTTGAATAAGTACTCAATGCTATGTGGTGCTAAAAAACCTCATACATTGCGTGGGACTGAACTGAGGAAACACTTGGCAACAAAGTGTGGCACAATGAACTTGGGAAATATTGAAGTGAAAGATGTAGCTGAGTACTTGGGCCATCATGAAAAAATTCATCTCGATCATTATAGGCTGCCTAATGCTACCAAAGATATAATGAGAATGTCTAATCTGCTAGAATATGCACAAGGAAGTACAAACCATTTACTTAATGAATCCTCTACAGGTGGCAGTTCCATAGAATATGAAAACATTTATAGCGAAACAATAGCTAAAGAATGCACAAACCAAGATTTTTCAAAGAAATCAGCACCAGGTAAAAATTATTCTATACATAATGTCTCTTCATTATGATTTCATTGAAATTAAAGAATTTTGAACTAATTGAGATGTATATTTCATATTGCAGTTAAAGATTTGCAACCCTGGTCAAACTTTCAGCTTCATGAAACAAACTCATTAATCAAGTAGTAGACTTTATTCAGGAGTAAATATTTCAGTTTTTAATACAAGGTATCACTAACTGAAATCAAATCATCACTTGTAAATCATTGTGCATACTTAGGTATGAATCAGAAAAGAAAAAAGGTAGATTAGCTACAGGCAGATACTCTCTGAAATATGTTGACTGTTGAACTGAATATATATGTATTGCAGGAATGTTTGCTTCTAGGCCATAATAAAATTATTTTTTTCCAGGTGAAAGAAAACGTTGGGGCAGCACAGAGCGTAATGCAGCTTTAACTCTTTTTCAAAAAGAAATTGAAAATAAAAAACTTCCTTCATTGAAGCAGTGTGAGAAAACGATAAAGGATAATCCAGTTTTCGCTGGGAGAACTCCAGAAATGTTAAAAGCTTTTATAAATAATACTTTGAAAAAGCATAAATGAGATGTCTTGATTGATTTGACAGATACTTTATGGATATCCATAATTACTAACAATTAAATGAAGAACACTTGTTTTTTTTTAATATACATAATACTATTTGTAATAATATGTGACGCGTTTCGCTATTCCTATAGATTTCTCAATCAAAAATGGTATTCAGTAAATGTACATACATATTCATAATAGTTTGAAATTAGGTAAATAGGAGGTCTTAATTATAAATGGGTAGCCTAATAATGACCAGGTAGTTTGTTTAATATAGAATATTCATGAGACTAATGTCACAAAGAGGCCCTTTGTGATATCACATATATGCAAATAATTATTGAAGAGGTTGAGGAGTGGTGAAAGGTGAAGGTCTAANTGGGTCCATGTATATAATTCATTTGTCTGTTATCATAGTTATGGGCATCTTTAATTTTATTTTAAGTTCATATTGTTATTTTTGTCGCCAATAAACACTTCCATGTATGAATAAACATATTCTCATTTTATGAAGAGTTAGAATATCAAAAAGGTTTCTTCATTTATATGAGTTTATAGCTGGTTCTGGATGGGATAATTTCTAAATGAATTTTATTACCTTGTTTTGCAAGGTTTCAAACTATTTTGTACAAAATGCCGAATAGAGGAATAATTTTGCCTTTAATTTTTTTCATGTGTACCTTCCAATTCATAATTTCAGATCAAGTAATTGAGTATTTTTTATAGGAAACAATGTTATTTTCAAAAGCAAGTGGGTTGTTGATATTATAGATTTTCTTTTTGGAAATGTATATATAAAATGATTTGTCGCAATTCAAACTGCAAACCTAAATGTTAATATTTGATTAGAAAGTGTATCTGTTTTTACTGTTCTGGCCATTTCTTTCTGTTTTGTGACTATCACAATAATTGTGAAAAGCTGCTCGATTAAAACTAAATTTAATGATCTGTGATATATTTTCTGATAAAATCGAGCGTTCGTTTAATATATTTCGCTCTGTTATCTCAGTCATTGCGTTATATCAAATATAAATCTGCTTACTAGGCTCCAAATTTTCAAAACCAAACACATCAAGTATTCAGGAAAATCACTGTGTTGGCCGAATCTAGGTAAAATAAAACGAAAAACAACATTTAAAGAAAACATTGATTATTGCCATAAGACTCCGTAGTCATGAAATTTCGAACATTCTTTGTTGTCTATCTATTACATTATTTTAAAAGTCAAATCTTTATAATGACTAGTAAATCCTTGAGATATTGTTCAGTGAGCCGGAGTTGAAATTATATATCAAAAATACGTTCATGCAGGTTTCTCTATGAGATCTGAACCTAAAAAAGAAATTATTTTATTCAAAGTACATGTATATATACAGTGTGTCCGCAAAGTATGGAATAAATTCGATATTTCTAAAACCAAAGGTCGTTTTACAAAAACCTGAAACACGTCGATTTTTAATATTCTATATTTTAAAACAAAATTTCATTATACAGGGTGATCCATACTAATGTGATGACGTCATCGGTAATTTTTTTTGAATGCAACACTGTATTTGGTGTCAGTTGTAGATAATCCGTAACGAACTTATTCCGAAAAGGTATAATACTGTGCCAAAATCATTTGGCACAGTGAACCCAAGTATTACCAATTTTCCATTTAGACTGAAAATCTCTGCACTCACTATCAACTTTACGTTTTTGTGACATAATGCAAAAATCGTAACAATTATGAAATTCGACACAACAATTCTACCTTTATTCTACTGTTTTCAACTAAAATAATATGGTATTTCCGCTTGTTGCTAAGAGATGGCGTTACTGTCTATGATTGAGTTGTTCACTAGAACTATTAAAAAAACATTCTCTCGCTTGCCTAGGCATGCGCTGCCCTTGAAATAATGTGTGCATTTTTGAACTTCCGTAGAGGAATCGAGTGAAGTCTGAAAGCTCTAAAAAACACGATTTTTCTTTCTGTGACACATTGCGATCGCGGGCCGTATCTTTGTTTACATTTGAAGTAAGTTGAACCATAAAACAGTGGCGGTTGGTTTATATAAACTAAACCAACCGCCACTGTTTTATGGTCCAACTTACTTTCCGTAAACAAACAAAATAAATGAGATGTCTTGATTGATTTGACAGATACTTTATGGATATCCATAATTACTAACAATTAAATGAAGAACACTTGTTTTTTTTTAATATACATAATACTATTTGTAATAATATGTGACGCGTTTCGCTATTCCTATAGATTTCTCAATCAAAAATGGTATTCAGTAAATGTACATACATATTCATAATAGTTTGAAATTAGGTAAATAGGAGGTCTTAATTATAAATGGGTAGCCTAATAATGACCAGGTAGTTTGTTTAATATAGAATATTCATGAGACTAATGTCACAAAGAGGCCCTTTGTGATATCACATATATGCAAATAATTATTGAAGAGGTTGAGGAGTGGTGAAAGGTGAAGGTCTAACTGGTCATTTAATGAGTTATTGGATTGTTTTCTTTTGTTGATCTCCAGTGCTTCTTAAGTTTTAAGCCTTTTCTTTCTGAATATGAAATTTCAAAATTTGGATCAAAAGTATGGTTTTTATCTATGAGGTGATTTGAATAATTTTAAGCTCTCTTGTGGTTATCGAAGCTTCTTTTATGTCCAAGAATGCGG